TGCTGCAACGCGCCGCCGCTTCTCTTCTAAAACGGGAAGAGTCCATTGTTAACGAGACCCAAATGAGGCTTTCTGTCTCCGGTCCCTCCTCTGCTGGGAGGGCGTGTAGGAGAGAAGGGGGACAGTGGTGGCAAGCAAAGCGGAAAGTTGATTTTTTTCGACACGTTTATTTGTTTAGAGCGTTTAAACTAATTCTCCACGGCCGGATCTGAGGTCGGCTTCCTAATGAAATAATTTCATCACCAGGGGTGTTTGCGGGAATAATTACAGAAACGAAGAAACTTAAAGACCATCGTAGACAAACGTGTTTATTTAACAGTATGTTACAAGTGAGAAAATGAAACACTTTGAAGGCCTTTGAAACTTCCATCCAGTCTTTGGTGAAACCACATTAGACTTTTTCAATACAATAAAGAAAACCGAGCCGCCGGAAGTTTTCTCCCACTTTTTGGACTCAGACGATACGAGTGCTTAAGAACGCCTCAGTTCCAACAAGTTTACATAATCCACCATTGTGCTTTCTGATAAAAGCATACTTCTCTGTGGTAGGGATGTTTATAATTAACAGTTTCGTCAGTTATAAGACAAAAAAAGAATACCTGGTGCACTTTAAAAGTCAGCCCACTGTCAGTGTGCTGACCTCAGCTGGAATTGTACACAATGTGTATAATGCACTAAAGTTACACTTCCCCATTTTAATTAAATGGGCAAATTGTCATATTTATGCTTATAGTGCACTAAATTCCTAAAATGGAACAAATACCATCTAGTAACAACGCCATAATGCAACGCGTTGTATTTTAAAGGGCATACGTCTTGCCGGAGTCAACCTGTCTGTAATTATGAAGAATTGCCTGTCTAAATGTAGTGCGGAGTAGCTAGAGACCTCCAGAGTGGTCCTATTCACGTGAATTACCCCATTTATTACCTGAAGATAGGAACCCTCGTATAGGGGCCATTAAACAAAACTCTGAAAAGAATCTACTAAGCGGCAACTGGGCTCGGTTGCTTTATCTATAGATACCTTTATTTACAACAACTCATCCATATGTGCAGTCTCCTTCCCCTCGGCGGTCCAACACAAAACACAGCTGTCGGTTTTACATTAGATGGACGGAGCGGGTTGAAGATGCGCGTCGGAGATAGCTGCGGTGAATCCAATTCGTCGTCGCCAACAGGGCCGTCAGAGCTGAGCTGAATGGCTAATGCGCTGCCCGGGCATGAGATGGGCTGTACAGCGGGAGAGCCAAGAGGAGAGGAGACAAGCCGGAGAGGAGACAGTACAGCAAGGACTATTTATTCAGCTGCACTTCTTCATGTGTGGAGCTGTACGGAGACAGCAAATGTACTCCCCTTGTCTGCAGTCAGCATTCCCGAGGCTTATAGGCTTCATTTATAATGAGAAGGCAAGATGTAAAAGGAAAAGAAGGATCCATTAAACACACATGCAATTATTATGAACAGCTCATACAGCCTAAATGAACCAACAGGAGGTCTAAGATTATCTATAAAAAAAAAAAATTAAACGCAATTGACTTCTGACCAATCAAATGAGGGATTCTGAAATCGGTCCCAGTCATCCAACTCAGGATGTGAGATTCGAAACCTCTTTTGAAGCCGGCCTCTTTTGCGTTCGCCTGAACGACTCAAGTCCATCAACACTTTGAGTACCAAAGGGGACGTGTAAATATTACAGCAGTACAAAGGACTTACAGCAGTCGCCTCTCTGCAGAGACTTGCAGGTAGAAAAACCCAGCTCATTGAATAGAGAACTTCATCTCTCTCGCAAAGGGAACCTGAAAGCATTTTAACGCTCCACCTGCCCAACATGTCCTTAGACTGTCGGTAGGAGGCGGAAGCACCCGCAGGACAAACTACCTCCACGGAGGACCGGCCGGCGGGCTTCCGCGGCTTTGCTGTGACGCGACAGCGCTAACCACTGGGCTATTGTGCCGCCCTTTCGAGGCGGAAACGGCAATTGAAAGTCGCGCTAATATTTGCATAAGAGGTGTCTGAATTCAACCAGTTAGCTGCAACTTCTGACCTCTCTTAACCTGCCAGTTTGGATCAGCAGCTTATCAGTGGGGAGGCCACTGAAGAGTAAAAAGGACTTCCCGTTCCATTTGTAGGAGAAGAAAAGAGCCACGGCGGATACGTTTGCATGAGTTCAGCTTATTTAACATCAAAAGAAATAAATCAAGGGATTCCGGCTGTTGAAGGGACACCAAATAAAATGCCTCCTGAGCGCTTTGTGAAAAACTTGTAAAAGTCTAACATTAAAAAAATGGATATCCCTCTGTGTTGGCGTTTAAAACAAGTGCCAGTAAAGGTGTAATCAATAACTTAAATGGAGGCAGCCATACATTTAGTTGTTCCCGCAAGCTATATGAAGTGAGCTGGCTGAACAATTGGGCACTTTTACAGCAAATCAACTGGCAAACGGGGGCTCTTTTGACCCAAACGAGTTCATCTTCCTCTCGAAAGTTATTTGGCTCTTCCAAGAGTCCAGACGCGAGGCTACAAAAGAGCCGAAACCAGAGTGCTGATGAGGCTGCTGCATTGACCGGAGGTAAAACGCACAGCTGGGACACCTTCCCGGCTTAATGCGTCCTGCCAATCCAATAAAGACTTAACAGGTCTCCGGGGGCCAAGGTTGCGCCTCCTACCTCAAAAGAAGGAAAGCTTCATTTGCAAGGCTAATCAAGTGTGAATGTCACGGAGGCTGAGCAAGGCAGGAGGACTGGCTTTGCTCACAGAGCTCCGGAGTCCTGCGGTTTAGCGGTAATTTGCCAACGGGATGAAAAAGAACCGTTTTTGTATAATATCCTATGTAATCATTTGTTGTTCTGGCCAGTGACCTTTCTTCTTAGGCGAAGGAGACGGAACACATTTATAGTGCAGGGCTGTAACACACCTTTTAGGTCGAGGCACTACTGAGCTTTTAGCGACTGCTAAAAACCTGCGAGTGCTCGGTAATTTTGGATCTTCTACATAATGCAGGAGACACTGTCCTCTGGAGACTTTTACTTCTCTGTCCCCGTCTTAAATGTGCGTGTGACCGACAAAAAGGTACCCAGCATTGCGGTTTTAAGCGCCGTGCCCTGCCCAACATTCAAGAAGGTAAAAGCATTCGGTTTCTTCTGATATTAGAAAGCAACAAAATCTTCACACGTCAGATCCAGGGAACTAAATGCTGTTCAACGGGCGCCAACAATTAATTGACGATCAAAATTGTCAGTTTAATTTCCAGCCAATCGATTATGCGGCTAGTTTGAGCTCTATGAGGAATTCTCCGAAAACCAATCCAATAATAGCAAGATCAACACTTCCTGCAGCTGCTTCTTCATAAACAGCTTCATATGACCTTCCACAGCCACACAGGTTCAACGCCACGGCCCTCTGCAGCACCTCGTTCTCTCTACCCGTCCAATAAAAGCAGACACACCCAACGGGGAAACGCTCCTTGCTCTCAGTCCTGAAAATGCTGTTGTCAATTTGATTGTGGTTTGAGGCGTATTAAATGAATATATACAGAAAAAGGATAAAGAAGAGATTAACATTTCCCTATCCAGTGATAAACTCGACCCCTCTGACACCACAGAGCACTTTGAATTATTATTTATTCAAGTCAAATATTATTAAAGCACTCTTATGTGTAAGACCACACTGTACTGGTAGTTTAGGGTTTCTCTTTTTGGCGTCAATGGAACACTTCTATTTAAATATGGGTCATGATAACTTCCCACAACTATGTTGGCCAAGTGGCAAGACGTCCTTGAAGAAGATGTCACTTAAATGAGCTAGTTTGGGGATACTTCCTGCGCCTACTTTCAGACGGACCGAGACACAGTGTTAGAACTGAAGCCGCCTGCCCAGATACATGGGTTGGTCTCTGCCGGAGTGCTTGTGCGGCCGTGGTCAGCGCGACTCGTGGTTCCAATGGCCTTGATTTAGAGAACACCCACAATTTGACTGTGCGCAATGTAAACAAAGCAGCGGAGGAAACACTCAATCTGCACATACACCAACAACCAAGGACACAGTGGTAGAAAAACATGCCTTTCGTGTTGCTGTTGCCAAGCAAAAGAAAATGCCTCCACCTCCATTCTATTACCGACTACAATTGTTTGAACAAGTGAGTGACACGGGATGCCTACACAGAATGAAGAGGGAGGCATCCGCCTTGTCGGCGCAACACAAAAAGTGTCATTAACTGCGGTTGCACAGAACACGAGCCGAGCGGCAACACGGTGGCGTCTCCTGTTTACTGCTGTTAAATAGACACTTGAAACACAGAAAAGAACGGCAGCGAGACACAGCTGTGGGAGGCAGGAAGAGTGCTTCATTGTGGGCTTGAATGTGTGGCTAACCCGGGAGAATGAGGAGGTGGGGGCAGTGGGGCTTCTCGGGTTTTTGGGTACAGACGCTGACAGAAGGCGGAGGCACAAGCACTCCACGCACCGTCATGAGCCAACGCCACCAGAGGATCTCGCTGCTGTGGAGTGTCGCAATTCCTCGGGAACTACCAGCTCTTAATATTCGACACAGTCAAAGTCTAGCGCGCTGAAAGTCAAAAAGTATGGCGAGTAATGAGGCTGCAGCACAGATCCATAGATGTCTGCATGCTCGGGGGCGACTGGGGCCATTCTTTTGTTGTGTAGGGTGGGGTGGGGTGGGGATTTAGTTCTATAGAGGCGGCGTGTGGAGGAACTTGCTTGGGGGAGGGTTACGGTTCCAAAGTATGCAGACATACGCTGTCTGCGTGTTGCCTTTGAGGTCAGCCAAGCTTGGCCGTTGGCTGCTGGGGTCACAGGGCGAGGGGGGGGTTTACAACAGCAGTGTCCCACAGCGAGCACAGACTTATACAACCCCCCCCCCAACCCAACCCCTCACTCCACTGCCAAAATGTTGCCACAAGGCCACAGAAACAAAAGCAGCCATTGTGGAGTTATTTGTTGGGTTGCGAGCTCCTTTTGGTGAAAATTCAAAGCAGAACTTACTTTGAAACCATGAAGGTCTTTCTGAGGCCGAGCTGGTCAGTGGGACAAACAGCGCCACACCTATCAAACACATTAGAAGGCAGGTCAGCGTATGCAATGTGAACGGTGAAATATCAAACCGCAGATTGCAACCATAGAGTGAAAATAAGGAGAAACTGGCAGCAAATGAGTGAAAATGTCCCTAAAATGTCATCAAGCTGTGGCCAATGAGAGAAAAAAATATCCTTCAAAACCGTGACTCATAAATAGAGAGGTGGAAACCACATATTATGGACATCTGCAATCCAATGCAGAGACCAGATAACGGGATATTTGCTACTAGTATAAAATACTTTTCAGTTGCTCATCGACAAAATGCAACCGAAAAGTCCCGGATACTTCCTGGAATTCATAATGTTGAGTTTGCCATGAACTTCAGAGGGAAGACGGGGCTTTAGGAAGTGTGTCGTGCATGCAGCAAAGAGAGAGCAGCCCTTTGTTCATTCGTCTATTATTAAGCAGAAGGACAACCTCACTTTTCACCGCATTAGAGGCTAAAGTATCAGCATGAGCGACCTCAAGCAGCCACCGCAGTGGGGCAGAAAATTGCATCCTGTAGGTGGGAGACTCAAATCAATGACATTTGGGAAAGCTGAAGGAAGCTGGTGTAACAGCTTAGTAGCAGCAACCTACAGCGTGACACTATGCTTTGAAATAGAGGCTCTGGTGCTGGAAAATAAAGAGATACGAGGAGAGATCCTTTTGTCTTTTTGGTTTTGCAAGGCGGAAATTAAAAAACATGAGAGAAAGGGAAGGTTGACAAAGAACTGGTTTAAAAAGTGGGAGAGATTTAGGAATTTTGCGTCTTAGTAACTTTGTATCTTAACAGTGTGGAAAGACAGTCAAAGAACTTGCATACGAGACGCAATTCTCCCTTTAGAATTGAATTGATTCTGAAAAATATTTTATTTGAAGACCAACTGCTCTATAAAGATTATGTTTTCATATTAATATATTCACCCGCAGAATATTTCTTGCTGCTGCAAATATTCTATAAATAGACTGGATATTCAAAGAAATTTGGAAACTTCCTTATAGATTTGGAAAGATTCTTGAGTCTGAGAGGACCATAAACCACAAACAAAGACACACAGGCTGGAGAAATAACTAGACGCAAATCACTGAGGAGCCAGTGAAGGAAAAAGACGTGGACAAAGACAATCGGACAAAGAAACAAAGGACACGCATGGTTTAAATACAACAAGATAAGAAATTCCCAGTGGGGAGGTGCAGGTGATTAGACTGAGGAGGATACGATCACAAAGGCATGAAACGCACAAGGAAATACAAACCGAGCCAAATAAACGAAGGCGGGGGAACCTTGGTGTAAAGTAGAAGTAAAGCGATTTATCGATACCCAAGAAAAAGGATCTCTAACGGACCATCACACACACAACACAGCAGGTGTGTCTGCCTCCATGCTAGAGGGAGGGAGGTGAGGAGCGGGACAGAAACGGGTCATTTCAAAAGGATATTCTGGTCGTAGATAAAGTCAGTGGAGCCGTCAGCCGGCCATAAACAAACGGCGTGTGGTGCTCCCTCTTCTCAGTCTGGATCGAGCCTCATGGTGAAAACATGTGATTTAATACTACAAGTAATATGTCAGGACGTGTAGTCTAGAGGCCATTCTCTGGGGATTTTGAGAAAACTAAATATGTTTTGTTGTTCTTAGGCCAATCCTGTTCCAAAGAGGAGCATTTTTCCACGATTCTCCTATAATTTGGCAGCATTATGTATTTTCGGGCTGCTGGTAGAAAACAGATGGGGAAGCATCGAGAGTGAGTAAAGACTCCGCCACACACACACACACACACACACACACACACACACACACACACACACACACACACACACTTGCCTTTAAAACTTAATCAAGATGATGAACACGCAACAAAATGAGGTCTTGTAAACATGGATTAAAATAACTCCCATTAACTTTGCAATTTTAGATTTTTTTCCTCCATCATTACAAAATTCAGAATCAGTTGATTATCTTCTTGAGAAAGGGACATTTTATGAAATATGCCGAAACTAAATATAATAAGGAAGAAGACATGTCCTATATTAGCTGGCATCTGATCACACGGGTTGCCGTTGGAGCCAAGAATGAAAAAAACTATTTGGTACTTTGGACACCAGCTGGCTGCAGCACTTTGGGTCTTGTTGCGACGGACGTGTTAAGACATAAACAGCTCACCCATAACCGTCTGATAATCGAGTATGGTCTTATTTCACCGGCAGCCGCCTGATTCAGAGGTACAAGTTGCGCGGTTGCTCCCACTCGGAGGTAGGAGTGCTACAGAAAAGGGGAACCAGGGAGAGGAGTTCACAAAAACACCATTTGACAGCTTTTAGTCCGCCCGGATTCCTTCAAAGCGGCACGCGCACTGGAAACAAGACGAGACAAGAACTCCAGCCACAAGGACACTCGGCTGCTTTGTGGCGTCTTGTGTAATGTGCTGATTAAAAGGAGCACTCATCGGGCCCGGATTGAAATGGCTTTGGAAGGACTTGCAGCGTCGGTATAAATCACAGCGCGGCGACACAGAAGTGCACTCTGCCAAACTCGGCCGATAGCCTTGGATATTTAAAGACTACTGGAGATGACAGTAGATGTTTTGATTTGGAGATAAGTGCTGCATGGGTGTGCCTATGTCTATGAACGCACACATTTACATGCTAAGCGCATTGTATGATTGAAGCAATGAAGAAAAATTGCCAATAATCCGTGGAGAAATTCACACTGAATTGAAGTGCCGTGTGTCTCAATGCATGAAAAACAAAGATAAATCAGAGTAGAAAGGGAAATCATATCAAAAGATGGAGTATTTAGAGCAGAACTGTGTGGAAGTGGATTTAAAAACATCACGCTGCTCTGGGTATTTTTCTGCTGGAGAACAAACTTTTTAAAAAGGTACATTTAGCACCACAGCAGGAAATATCCTTAATAGATCTAAGAGGGGTGTACAGAGCTGTTGATCAATACCACTAACCAAAGAATTTCTTGGCCAGGTGCTGGGATTTATGGATCTCAGAGCTCTTTGTTTGGGTCTAAATTTGTTCTCTGGTCTTTGGAGTCTAATTGAGAGTCGCCTCTCTTCCCCTTGCAGTGTTTACTTGCATCGTGCATCCAAAAGGTGTTCACCTTTACATTTCGCAGAGGGAGGAAAGGCCCACAGAATTCAGCCTTCTGAGGAATTTTTAAATCCACTCTGTGTTCGGAGTAGCGGACCGTCTAATTAGCAATCTGCCAACTTGCGACGGTGTTGCTGCAATCTGCCACCCCTCAGAAATAGTACACACGCTCCGGGGCGGAGTTTTGTTCAGAAGACTTTGTTATCATATTTCTGGAGGCCCGGCCGGACGATGAAACCACGTACCAAATTAGAAACCATGAACATACGTTTTCTTATTTCCACCTTTTTCCCCAACAGCCGGCTGGTTCCAACTGGGCCGCCAGTTGGTTTTAATCAGCTTTAGTCAGTAAGACCAAGACGAAGCTTTAAAAAAAACAGGAACTAAGAAATGGTTGAATCAGTTTTACCAAAAAGTTACTTTTACGGCTGGAAGCTGGCAACATATTTTCCTTTTACATTATTCAATGATTTTTTTTTTTTTAATAGGCTGATCTGTTTGTTTACATTTATATTTGACTTTCTCCTTAAACTGAATCCAAACTTTGGACTGGTACTGTATAAACTAAAAAGCATTAATGAAAAAACTAAACTAAAAGACACGAAACAAGAATGTCAAACATGAATAACTAAATCCTGTCAACTGCTATTTAGATTGCTTGCACGGAATTACAGCGATACCATTCGTCAATGAATTGAATTAATTTGATGTTCTGGTTCAAGTGTAAACTTACTATCAAAGGAAACCAGAGACAGCAACTTCTAGAAACTGTAGCCAGGCCGGCTGCCAGGGATCAATGTCGATTGCCAAAGTTGAGAGAACGGCTGCCATGAAGTGACGGATTGGAACTGGAGCAATAACGTTTCTGGTTAATCAGTTCAAGAAAAACGCGATTAAAACCTACTAGCATTCTCTACTTTCAACCGCATCGCTCTCCCTTCTTCAATATTCCCAAGGTCAGAAACACATGAGACACAAAAGAAGTCCTACACTGGTATTTTTGATTTGAGCCAATTTGAATAATAAATAATAGCCGATAACCGCTGGCCCCGCACGTAATTTGAGGCTATTGACCCCTGCCACTCGCTTACATGCTAAGATTCCCTCTGACCGAGCCAATATCAAGGTGTGTTGATGCATTTGTGCACACTGATTGTGAGTGAGACACAGCTCAGATGTGTAATCGCTAATCAGCCAGAGTCTTTGCACATAATGGTGTCCATTATCTCCACTGCTTAGTCAAGTTATTAATATGCATATGTGCACTGAGGCATTTGTGAGCGAAGGAGTAGTCGCAGGATTAGTGAAGTATTTAAGCATGTTTCAGCTGGCTCTTGAGCAAAATGTGAAGCATTTCAGGTATTTGATCGTCAGTGCCTGTAATAAGAAACTACTCTGTGTAGCCTGTGGTATAATATGACATATGGAATCCAAATCCTAGCAGTAGGCAGAACGAGCTAATGCAGAACATCCATCACTATAATACAAAACTTGATCTCCCTAAAGCAGCCATTAAAGTGAAGCTTTAGAATTTGATAGCATAGACGTGAAGATGTTTGATGTAGTTAGGACACAAGTAGCCTAGAACCTTCGCAGATTCACAGATCTCAGACTTCGAAAGGTGCAGACCAGCAACTAATATTCACTGTAACTTGAAAACCAGTGTCACACAAGTGACCCATCATATACTTTGTTTAATTCCACCAAATGTTTTCAGCCTTTCACACATTTAATAAACAAACGTCGTACACGAGGGGAAAATGCAGTGCTTTGAAATGCCAAAGTAAGTTTGAGCCAATTAAAAATAATCCCGCCATTAACAATATGTCCACAACGGGTAACGCAGTGGTGCCGTAGTCACTTTCAGCAAGAAGGGCCCTGGAGGGTTCAGCAGCCCCATTTATAAAAATCATATCCGTCGATACGTTATCATCTACGTTTTTAAACTCCCAAATGATCTGTGTCTACCCTCAAAAATCCAGTATTGGTCATGTTTATACTAAATAGTGACTAATTTAAATTTTAAGGATGATAACCTGCGGTACATCATTTAACGACATAAAAAAAACTAGTCTTATTATATCTAACGTTAAATCAAATTAATTCACTCTATTCAAACATACTGTACATGTATTTGTCTACTTCCATTTCACTCTGTTCTTTTACATGTATTTGAATATGTACACATAGAAGTGATTGCATGTTCTATCAGTACAAATACCGCTGATTATTTGGTGTACGGGCACTTATTCAATGTCAGAACACTGAAAACACTCTCATGCCATCCACATCAGATCCTTGCACACTGTTTACAGGCAAAGTAAAGAGCATCAGGCTGCAAGGGACTGCTACGGAAAGACAATTTAGGATGCAACGTTATATATGCAAAGACCACTAAACAGTACATTTAGACATGTAATTACATTACATGTCATTCAGCTGACGCGTTTCTCCAAAGCGACTTACAATAAGTGCATTTCAACCATGAGGATACAAACCCAGAAGAACAAATAGTACAGCTGGATCTCTGGTTCGTGAGTCACCAGAAGCACAATTACACACAGTGGTCTTTTACCCGCAGCCTCTAATAACAGGACAGCCACGGTGATGTGACGTGGGGGGGCAATATGTTGGATAGGAGGGGGGGGGGGGGGGGGCGCTCTTTGAGGATGGAGAAGTTACTGCACATCAGTAAAAGACACTAATGCAATCCGTTAGAAGAGGAGTACCAGGGTAGATATTTGGTGGCTACGAGTAACTGGGCTAAACACAATTCTACTGGAAGACCACATAAGAACTGCCCGTTAAAAGCAGAGGCGACCGGATGTTAGCTAACGGGCGGCTCAAGTTAAGTTTGTCAGTTTCTGATCTGGTCCATTCACAAAAAAAATAAAAAATAAAAAAAAGAGTCTGTGACCACTACGCCGCGCAGTCCCACCATGACAACCCATACAACAAGCACAACAACGTCAACCGCCGGTACTTTTGGTGTGAGTCTAGCGGGAAGAAGTGGCCGAGCTAGCTAGTAAGCCAGCTTACTTTATAGTAAGCAGATCTATCGTTAGCTTACAAGCTAACTGGGGTATTGCATTCCAGAGAGTCAACACCGAGCTTTGAAGTTCCTGTTCCCCCCGCTGCGGTTCCGTTAACAGGCGCCGACACGCCGACGGTCGTATAAAACACTTTAAACTGTTAAGTGCATTGCAAAGACACGGAAGGAGAAAAGCAGACCGGTGGGATTTAAAGCTAATTAAACGTCGCTTCGCTGATGTGAAAGTGAACCGGGGAAATATCAGCTAGCACTGGATGTCTGGACAAGAGGGAGCAGACGAGACGTTAACGTTAGCGACCTTACCTGCAGGATATAAGGTGTCCTAAAAAAACGGGGCTTGTTTAGGAGCCAACAGAAGTAGTTGTTTTCGGTTAGTCGGTTAGTTTAAAAGACTCCTGTTTTACCTCAGGGGGGGGGGGGGATCAAGGTCCACTCGAAGAGACCGGGTGACTGCTGCCTCCCAGCCACAACAGCGACTGACTACAGCTCGCCGAGGACCTGCTTCTCACTGAGAAGGGTATCAAGTATCGCGAGATAGGACGAGAGCTGGGAGATCGCTACGAACCAATCAGATTAGCCGCTGCAGAAGGCGTTTGTTGTGTTGGTGCTCTAGAAACAAAATAAAATAGAATGGTAATGTGTTTTTTTTTAACTCAATTAAATATAAATACAAATATTCACTCATTGCACAATTTCAGTAGACAACGAAGCAGTTTTGACCAATGCTTATTAAACCATGTCATTTAGCTGACACTTTTATCCAAAGCGACTTACAATAAGTGCATTTCAACATTACGTTACACAAAGGAGCAATTGTCCCTGACACCGCCTCAGATCAACTTCTGTCAGTACGTTTGTCATAGTTTTAGCTGTTGTTTTTGAGTGTTATTATAATAAAAGGAAAACATCAGTGTTACAACTGAATTAAAAGCATCAACCAAGGCGGTAGGTCCAAGATCATAATCATAAAACCTGTACACAGTAAAATATAGTAAAATAAAGTGTTGAGCTTAAGGATCTGTTATAATGCATTATTGTTGCTGCTTATTTGTTTGATTTTTTTTTTTTTTTGTGCCTTGGTTTTGATTTGGTCTGATTTTGGATTACATCGAGTTTTCTAAATCAAGGCTACTTTTCAACACTGTAGTAGTATAAAAAAAATGACAGGTATTGCATAAGTAGTATCAATAAAGCGTGGGTTGTTCTTCCTTTGGTGTGGCGTTCTCATGTCGTCCACAGGTTTATGGGTTTCCTTGACGTATTTCGTTTTCTCTTCCACAGACTTAGTTCTTAGGCTTTGCTCGGCTTTGCTGTCCTTGTTTTAGCTGTGTGTCTATGTTCATCAATTGTTCTCAGTATTGTGAGAACAGGCAGAATCAATAGAAACTGGAAAAATACGTAATAAGGCTGTTGCTTCCTATTAGGATCTCAAAGAGTAGCCTTGAGTGTAATTTATTGTGTGATTTTAAATCTGGCTTCAGCTCTGTGACAGGCTGGTGAAGAAGGGAATGAATGCGCTATTGTCAGTGATTACAGCAGAGTTCGCTTCAGTTTCTGACGGTAATGAGGAAACACTGCTGGAATGTGCTTCACCAACAGCAATTTTAAGCTTTTTTCTTTGAGCCGTAATGCTCTTTTTCATGAGGCTTAAATAAATGAGATAATCTCCTCTCTTCAATATATGCTGATGCCTGACATTATGAAATAGAGGACAAGAAAGAATAAAATAAGACCATCTAATCACAGGCAGACAAGCATGATGCAAGACAGCAACCACTTTGAAAAAAAAGAAGCTGTGTCTGTTCTCTCCCACTTTCACTTTGAGCGTCTCGTTTGCCCCCCGGTTGACTGGTAGTAATGTTGTCATGGAAGCGGTAGATGTTGAAGTCGAGGATGCTCATTAAAACCAGTTGTTGTAGATTCAACTAAAGTCTACTGGTATTCTTAATAGTTTAAAGGTCAGAATGGAATGAATTACAGACGTTGAGATTTTAAGCTTTTTTTCTATTTATGTTTTATATGTTTCCTGCAAAAAGTAGTTTTGGACGTTTGTATCATTCACAATAAATAAAACCACTACAAAGCTAAAGGTAGAATTAATATCAAAGATGTTATCAGCCATTAAGTAAAATATAGTCTATGTTGATGAGTCTGTCTGTCTGGTCCAGACTAGAAGATCTCAACTAATGTTCAATTAATTTCATGCAGATATTCATGGGTGTATTCTAGTAAATTATTATTATACCTTTCCTTCATCGCAAATGAAATAATTCAACACCTAATCTCAAAGCTTTGCACCAACCTTTGCGTGGCATTCATGGTCTCCAGGGGTTGAAGCTTCATGACTTTGGGACCCCCTGACTTTCAATCTAGTCCACCATGAGGTCCTACCTCGATTGGACTTTGTGTTTAGTGCTAGTTAGCAGATGTTGCCGAGACGTCCATTAAGACACTTTAGAGTCAGATATGAACCTAAAATGTGATGATGACCCAAATTGATGAAAGAGACGGGAAATTGTATTACGTTGGCTGAGGTGTTTGTGTCCTTCAAGCTTAAAGCTCAAAGCCATAGATTTCCATTATGTCCCATTCTTTTTTAATATGTTGTATACGTTTTAATAATCCTTTCTTGCAGAAATGAAGCAACCTTCTGGTGATATTATTTCCCCCAAAGCCTTGTGCGCAACTGGCTGTGGGAGGACAGTGTTAGCCAGACAATGTGGAGCTTGTCAGTGTGAAATATTGTGCACTGATCATGCTCTGCTTGCCGTGGATCTCTTCATTCGAGCTTTTTATATATTTATCCATATTTTACATTTTTTCGAGAAACCAAATCCACTGTGCTGTTTTAAATGAGGGATTAGATTCCATTAATGTAGAACACGTCAGACAGAATCATTTGAACAGTGATTTTGCAGAAGATGAATAGATTTTAAAGTATTTTTGACATTACATAATGATTTAGTTGAAGAGCATGTGCATGTGTTGGACCTTCTTTGTTATAAAAAGAAACAATACACTACCGTAATATAACTGCAACCAATAACAGCTGTGAGGGTAATGAGACTGAAAACAGATTGGAGTGTAAAGGAAATGTGGCTTTACAGCTCATTTCTGTACTCAAGATGCATGCAGGATGAACAGAGAGTAATTCACTCGGTGCAGTCGACGTCGCGCCAGCAGAAGTACAGAGCCTGTAATGTAAATCTGGGATTATATGAAGCCATTTCAAAGCACATCATTCCCGCTTTTTAACCCTTCCACTGTAAATAGATAGCGAGAAGTGGAAGCTCAGTCGTTTTTTGTAGAACAATAATAATAATAATAATAATACGTTTTCTTGGTACCCAAAGGCGCTTTACAATGTAAATCTGAGTAAAGGAAACGTACAGATAAGAGGAAGGCAGAAACACAAAAAACAAAATAGAAATTGAGTTTTCCAATCAGCAGACAGTATTTCAGAGCTTTATGGTATTCTGAGTTGACAAGCAGCCTTCTCACACTCGCTGAGGAATAACAGCGGAATTTAATGGAAAATCTCTTCTTCTCAAATTCCACTCAAAGGCTGATTAACATCACAAATAAAGAGATTTCTGTTTGTCTTTTTTCGTGCCTCAAACTTATAAAATTGATACTTACCTCCAAATCCAAAATGTGGAATCACTGAACGTTCAGACTTTTAATACTTTCCAGAAAGCCCTCCGGAGCGACAGCCGCAGAACTCAATACTCAGCTGGCTTATTACTCTGCCTCAAATATCCAATTCCCTCCTTAAAAACTGGAGTCGGATTAACCAATTGGATGAGATGTCTCTTCACAGAGGATTGGCAGAATAACCGTGAGTGGAAAAATAATGATTTGAAAAAGCTATAAAAAACATAAGATGCAGATGTAGCTGTTTCAGCCGGAGGTCCTCTGAGGTCTCTCTGGACCTAAGGCGCTCCGAACCCCGACCATCCATTTCATCCATATTGGTATTCTAACCCTTTTTCTCATTTCAACTTTTGGAAGAGGAGGTGTGGCCCTCTAATGTGGGGCTCTCTGTATCTGACATCAACCTCGGGCACAAGAAAGATAAATGAACTGAGTGACAGCGCCATGGGGGGAGATAAGAGGGGGGAGGGGGGGTCGTACCACAGCTTCCTCACTGTGACAACATGAGACCATTTCTTGGCCGTAACCCCGGAATGCCGCTCAGCGATGCGTGTGCTTCATGCCGAATATGTGATTGTCACATTATGAGAATCACATGAAGAATACTTGTCTCCAAAGGATCCCAAAAAAAACATGAGAAAAGAACTGAACGAACAAAGAGTGTCCCCGTCTCATAAAAAACACCAAAACCCACAGAGGCCATTCACTTGCAAAACTGTTTGTTTCTTAGATTGCTAATTTGCATTCTTATTCCTCTAGAAAGATCCAGTTGTGTTGCTGATGGAAGAAGAATGAGAGCAAAGGGAAATATAAAAATCCCGATTTTCACACGAGGCACCAAGGGACATAACTGATACAGGCCTGAATGGAAAACACAGTCCCTGCGTACTGTCTTGTGCAATGATATTTTTAAGTGGAAAAGTGTTGGAAGGGTTCAGACACTCAGGTCAGAGCAAACAGGGATCTGCAGTATCCGTTTGCTCATAGTCAGTCGGACGGATTGTGTGATCATCAACACACAAGCGCCAAGCGAAACCCATACGGGTTTATAAAACACCCGAAACATTGTTCCAGTGCTGAAACATTCAACAGACTCAAACACATTGGTGTTCCAACTTTACTTAATAATACCCAGCCACAAAAAAGAAACTCTCGTGAGAGACAACGCAGGTTTTTTGTATAGTCGCCTCTCCAGGAGAACTTTAGTTTGAAAGCGCAGCCCCTTTGATGATCATATAATAAGGGAGCCCGGCGGACCTACCGCCTCTACAGCTAATGCATCTGCATGTGCAACAGTGCAGATGACTCTATATTTTCTGCTGAAATGCAATTCACGCCGGCATTATGTCTCCGTAAATCACCACCTCGGTCACACATCATCAAAGCAACACTCTGTGCAGGGAAGGGATTGTTAATACATCTACATTTCTGCAGATCAGCTGTGTTAGCTGCTGTGAAGTAACGGCCCTTCAGCGCTCCTCAAAGGCACAGCATGAGTCACCCAGCCGCTCGGATTGAGATTCCTCACAGAGATGAGCAGGTCGGCCCGACGTTTGATTGATCTGAGCGTCCAGAGTCTCCCCGGGTCATAAAAGATTCATGTGCTGTGGCCTCCAGTGTTTTTTCAATTTACTTTAACTAGAGCATCGCAGACAGACACCCAGAGGCAACACTGGCATCCTGATTTTTATAAATGTTTCCTAAGAGCCTGAAAAAAACCTTCTGTTTAAGCAGAGAACCAAGTCAATGAGAGCTGGGTGGTGAGCAAAGAGCTCTTTAAGCAGCATTCAAGAAACTATTTGGCTTATTATTA